CCATCAGAATACCCTGCTTCAAAGAAAAGTCTGTTGGATAAGCTAGGCCTGTAGTCTGAAAAGATGGATTCCAATATGTTATAGAGGAATCTGGGTGACTACTCAGGCAGCCAGCTGTTTCTGTCTATATTTGCATTTTTTTTAATTCACTTGCTTACATGTCCTGCTTACTCAGGTAATATTATTTTCTTCTTTCGTTTCTGAGGGTGTTGAAGACTAGATAGTCAACGTTTTCCTTGTTTATCTGATGCAAAGAGCAAGTTATTATAGAAAGTAAGTTAGGTACAAGACTTGGACTCACAAGATAGAAGAGATATAGAGTATTTACTCTGAATTTGTCCAATCATTTGAATTGCTGATATATTTATTGATTGCCTGTATAATATATAGTTATTGTACTTATTGTATATAGTTTTTCTTATATTAGTTATAGTCTTCCTTTTATGTTAGACAAAAAGGAGAAGTGTATGCTATTTCATTTGTATTTTAATAAATAAAGCTTGCCTGAGGATCAGAAAACTAAAACAGCCACACTGGCCAGTCTTATAGACAAGGCTGCAATGATACACAACTTTAATCCCAGTAGCCACTCTAGCTTGATAGAAACCAGGCAGTAGTGGCATATGCCCTTAATCTCAGAACTAGAGGGGATTATAAAATAAGAGGATACAGCTTTCAGTCTCACTCTCATTCTGAGGGTTACTAAAGACAGAATCACCATTTTCAGCCTGAGGTTGAAATAAGAGCCAGTCAGTGGATAACTGCTTTGCTTTTCTGGTCTTCAGATTGAACCCCAATATCTGTCTTTGAGTTTTTAGTTAATCATGGATCATGAATGTATGGTCTTCCCTTGGAGCATGACCAAGTTATCATGGGCTTTACTCTTATAGAAACTCTTTCTTTCTCCACTAGAAGTTAACAATTTCCATTACTCTACAGTCTAACTGGAGTCTCTCTGATGAGACTGGTTTGGTGTGAGCTTACATAAGTTTTGAATATGAGGTGATTTCATATGAGGAGTTGCCCTGCTGGATGTAGACATTTACTTATAGTTATTCAGTACCTTTTAGATTTATGATTTTTAATCCCTCTTCTTCAATGATGGCCACTGAGTCACAGACAACTTAAACAAAGATTTCTTCTGGCTCCTGGATTCAGAAGGTTATATATGCTTGTCTGGCTCTATATGATTGCTTTGGTCCCAAGGTAAGGCAGGCTATCAGGGGATCAGTATGACAGGAGGGGTTCCTTTCTTTTTATCAATCAAGAAGTAGAAAGAGACAGAAAGGGACTGGAGATAAGATTAATGCATTCAGGTTTGTTGAAATAAGAGCGGTGGGGCTGCGTCCCCAACACCCCGGCCGCTTGGCTAGCTCATGCCCGAAATAACAACACACAAACTGTATTCATTTAACTGCTTGACCCATTTCTATCTAGCCTCTTCTAGGCTAATTCTCACATATTAATTTAGCCCATTTCTAATCATCTGTGTAAGCACCCCAAGGTGTGCTTACTGGGAAGATTCTAGCCTCCATCCATTATGGTGTCTCTGCTCCAGAGTGCAGAGCTGTCGAGTCTCTCCAGGAGAGCTGAGCAGATTCTGACCTCACTTCCTCTTCCACCCAGCATCCTATTCTGTTTATTCCACCCACCTATGTTCTAAGCTATGAGGCCAAGCAGTGTGTTTATTACTTAACCAATGAAATCAACAGATTGATATATGACACTCCCGCATCACAGGTTCCCATCATTTCAACTTCTTCTAATTAATCAGGATCTACCTTCCATAGTATTTCCCACTTTCTACTTATATATTCAATTAGGAGTCTATCAGAGGATTGATGCATTAATTAGGTTAAAGCCTTCATGAAACAATCACTACCTAAATACCTATAAGCGTGAATCCAAGTCTTTTATACATAAGGGATTGGATCATCATTTAGAAAAGAAAGTTCTGATGCTTAAAAGAATATGTCCAGTCTAGTCTAATCAGAAGGATAGTCTAGATCACACAAGGTATTGACTAAAGAAACAGGTTGTTTTTAGAATAAGGGGACTTGCATAGTTCATTGCCAATTTGTGTATTCCTTGTGTGACTCAATTGTACCCATGGTCTGTAATAGTAGCTGGATTTATGAGGATAAAACTGTCACAAGTTTTCTAGCTCTTATAGCTAGAAAAAACCTTCACTGACTTTAACTCTCATACAGTGTAGCAGCATTTCATTTGTATTTTAATAAATAAAACTTGCCTGAAGATCAGAAAAGTAAAATAGTCATACTGGCCAGCTTTATAGACCATGCAGCAATAATGCACACCTTTATCCCAGTAGCCACACCAGATTGCTGTAGAAACCAGGTGATATATGGCTTTGATCACAGTGGTGTACATCTTTAATCCAAGCCCGAGAGAGGATTATAAATTGGAGAAACATCTCTCAGACACAGTCTCATTCTGAGATTCCTGGAGACAGGATCATCATTTTTAGGCTGAGGACAAAATAGGAGCCAGTGGCTGACTTTTTTGCTTTTCAGTTCTTCTGGTTGAACCCCAATTTCTCTCCCTGAGTTTGATTAATGACATTTCAAATAGAGATCTTTTCCATTGAAGAGGAAATATGGCACACACTAACACAACAGAGCTTGGTCATCTTCTCCCATGAGCCATGTCAGCATGCACTGTGTCCCTGTTGGTGAATTCAGTTCAGTATTCCAACATTCTGGTCCTCTGTATTGCCTTGATGCCAAGAAATGGCCCAGAGTTTTGGCTTTCTTTCTTCTTCAATTATTAAAGTTACATCAGTCCTTAATCAACTATGTTTGATAAGCTCATAGGCCCACTTTCCTGAGATAATTCTGATATATCTATCCATCCATCCATATTTTTCTGATTTCACTTGATTAGTTCAAAAGTGGTAACACTTTCTTAATGCAATCAGTTTTCATTTATGATACATTGCTGAGAATAAAAGTGGTTGCTTGCTTGAAAAAGAGTTTCAGTCATTCTGCTTCACCATTCCCAGAAATAGAATAAAGTAAACTAGGGTAAGGCACACCCCCAAAACATCTGTTTTACTGGGAGTAATGCAGAGCAGGTCACAGCCCATTCTCATCAACTACTCTTATCAAAAAAAAATAACTGAAAATTTTTAGGAAGTGGTGTCTTATTCATACAACCATTAAAGTAGATTATTTGGGTTCCTATTAATGAATACCGATAACCGTGTATTTATATTGCCCCATTTAGGTACTTAAAATGTGTGAGTTTGAGATTATACAGCTGTAGTACTTTATGGAGAGATATATAAAATCTTTAGATTATATAAACTCAATATTGTCAGCATATGAAATGTGAATGAAACATTAAGATGAAATGTGGTACTTTCTAAATATGTATCAATTAGAATTTACAAGGCATTGAGTATTGGTCCAGTAATCACTGTTGAAGTAATTTTCCATTGTGCTTTTAGGATGAAGTGTTTATATTGTTCTCACCTTGTCTGGAAGATCAACCAGACAAGGAGCTGTTGTTCAACCCTGTGTAAGGTACAGGAACAGGAAGAGCAATACTACTCTCAGTTGCCTAGATTCACAAGTTTGTCACTTTGCTACTTCTTTACAATCACACATCCACAGTTCATATATATATATATATATATATATATATATATATATATATATATTTCTCTTTTGCTTTCCCTCTTCCCCTAAATCAGGATAATTATCAGTTTCTAAGAAGATACTACAATTATGTTTCTGAAATTTCCAAAATACGTTTCATATTGGCTTACCTTTCCAGACAGTTCATGTTGATTTCCTTTGCTCATTGCTCCTTCAGAGACCCCAAAGAGTGCAAAATTTATACACAATAATACCCTAGATCCTTTCTGACACCACATGAAGTCAATGATGCATCTTTTGTTTAGTAGATGTTCTTGAATTGTTTCATTATTTTTCTTGTGTTCTCTTCAGCTTCTATGGAATAATGGCCTCATGTTGTTTATTTTATATCTCAAACAGAGAGTTTGGAAGATGTTTTTAGTTGAGCATAAAGCAAATAATGGCGGGACGTAAAGAAAGACAAATTACGGTCATTGATGCTCCCAAGAAATTTGCTCTATTAAGTGAAGAACAGGCAAAGGGTGAGGAGCACGCTTACTGTTTGCCTGAGCCCCCTGAATCTAGTGACTGCTTCAGAGGTTCAGATAGATTTGTACTAGTTTTCATATGCAAAGGAAAAATTTACCTAAGTTTACCAAATCACTATATTTATTACCCTTTTGTTCACTTGGAACTAGTTTTAAACATCATGAATATCTTGTTGTAAAGAATGATCTACCAAAATTAGAAATACTGAATAAGTGTAAAGTCTATGATACTGAAGTGTAAAATTACTTATAAATAAATGTGTGATGTGTGTTTGTCAGAATAATTGGTGTAGTAGTTATTCTTATTATTAAATATTAAATATTAAAGGACTAATCATCCACATCAAGTTATGAGATAACTTATAGTTTGGACAATATGAGCATATGTCTCTCTTGAGTCCTAATTTGAAGTGTTGAGATATCATCATTATTTAAGAGATACCTTATGCTGGTTTGAATTATAGTTTCTTCCTACATGACTTAGAGTTTTTTCAATGGTGCTTCCTCAGACTGCAAGTTATCAGATTAGAATATGAAATGCAAATTAATGTAGATAATACAAATAAATGCATATAAATTTGCATGTTAGCATGTCCTTTATCATTATTTAAAAAGACTCTGGGCTGCTATGAAACAAAGCATCTGGATGGAGCTCAACTTGACTTAGAATATGCAATGCTTTCATGAAACTAACAGAGTCTGCTTGTTTTGTTTGTTCATTATTGCATATGAAACCTAAAATAGGTATATACGCTGTACAGTTTTAAAAATTGTAGACGCAAGGCATTCAAAATTATTGCATTAATGTCTATTCTTCAGTGACTTTAAGAATCAGAACATTATCTTATAGATAATGAGAGCTGCCATACAAGTGCTATCTGCAATAATGCTCAATGTGGAGTTCTTAACTGGGAATTTGGGGAATGGATTCATAGCACTGGTGAACATCATGGACTGGGTCAAGAGAGGAAAGATCTCTTCAGTGGATCAGATCCTCACTGCTCTGGCAGTGATCTCCAGGATCACTGTGCTGTGGTCACTGTACATTATGGTATCCATATTTTCAGTGTACCCAGATGCAGAAGTGACTATGACAACAGTAAGACTGACTCATCTTATCTGGGTAATTTCTCAACATTTTAGCATTTGGCTGGCCACCATTCTCAGCATTCTTTATTTTCTCAAGATAGCCAATTTTTCTAACTCTATTTTCCTCTACCTAAGGTGGAGATTTACAAAGGTGGTTTCAGTGGCATTGTTGATGTCTCTGCTCCTCTTGTTTTTAAATATTTTAGTGTCAAACATCCACATAGATATGTGGATGAATAAGTTCGAAACAAATGTATCTTACAGCTACAAATTAAAGAATTTTACACACATTCCCACACTTCTTGTATTAACAAATAGTATGGTAACCTTAATGCCTTTCACTGTGTCCATGACAATGTTTATCCTGCTTATCTTCTCCCTGTGGAAACATCTGAAGAAGATAAAGCACATTGCCAAAAGCTCCCGAGACACCAGTGGCACAGCTCACATCAAAGCCTTGAAAACTGTGTTTGCCTTCCTCCTGCTGTATGTAATTTTTACTTTCTCTCTTTTTGTACATCTTTGGAGCTATGAGTTTGGAGAAAAAAAAAAACTTTTCAAATATTTTTGCCCTGTTGGCATAATTGCTTTCCCATCACTCCATTCGTTTGTCCTGATTATGGGAAACAGTAAGTTGAGGCAGACCTCTCTTCTGGTACTGTCCATGTTAAGGTGCAAGATCCAAGGATGTTGACTCTTGTGTTTCTGACACAATAGACAGGGGCTAATTTTGCATAATTTTAATGAGGATTATTTTATAAGAAATTATTCTTCATTTTCAATGTACATGTTTCAAAAAATATACTTGCATTCTCTAAAAAGTAAGTGCTATACAAACTAAAAACAACTGAGAAGAATAGGAATATGAAACATATACATGTAAGCATATGCTAAGTAATATAATGTCAATGGTATCAAATTATTTGATATTTTTAAATGATCATTTTATACTATAGAAATATAACTACTGTCTTTAGAAAGAGCTCATTATGTATTTTATTTTTTACTGTTTAATCCTGAAGACTTTAGGTCAGGTCCCTGCCATCCAACTAAAAGTTAGACACAGCCCAGCACTTAGGGATCAAGCAGGCAGACACTGAGGATCACTGGCTGATCAGTCCTGCTGAAACAGCAAACTCCAGTTTTAAATGAGAGTCACTATATCCAGAATATAAGGTTTAATTAATAGAAGCAGACATCCAGTGTACGCCTCTAAACACACAGACATGTGTGGACAAGCACACTCACATACAAATACATGACACAAATACATATAAATAATGATGCAATAATAAAAGAACAAGTAAATATACATACTTGTGAACAATCAAAAGTAGAATTGATGAAATAATACATAATATAATTTCTAATCTAGGAAAATTGCTGAATTTGTCATAAAATTTTCTATATGGACTTACAAATAATATGTTTCTTAGGTTTTCTCAGAATCATGGCGGCATTTACTCAATTACACTATGGGTGTTAGTTCCACAATGAAAAAAAATGGATCATAATGTTATTGGGAATATAATGTACATATGGAAATAAGTCACCATTTTAATGGAAACTAGACACTATAAAATATAAAACTGATTATTTAATAGGCACTTACTAGACAGATGATGGCATATATGTGGCACCAACTCAAGTATTTATGCATATTACAAAGCTCAGCAGTGCAATGTCAATTTTTATATGGAGAAATTGAGACCCAATATAACAAAAATTTAGGACCTAGTATTGCATATATGGAGATTTCATTTTTTCCTGAACCAACTGCTAGGTGCTTTATGAACGTGTCATGTGAATGTTCAATGTCAAGCTCACTCTTTCTTGTTCATATAATCTGCATGTAATTATAATCATATTTCTTCTTCCTTTTAATTATGACAATTTTCATCTTGTAATGTTGGCTTCATAATGAAATGTAATGAAAATATGCTAATTACTTGGTATTGCAGAAATATTAATTTCAATGTTCAAAGAGCTAACTGACAGATCATGGAACCAGGCAGAATATTTCTAACTGCTTCACTGGCAAGTGAAATACTAGATTTACTTACGACATAAAAATTCTTTAAAATTATCTTCATAGTGAATCAATTTCTATTTTTCTCATACAATCTGTTATATATTTCAAATATTTATTTTTTAATTTATATTTATTTCATGGGTATTAGTGCTTTTCCTGCACTTATGTCTGTGTGAGGGTTTCAAATCCCCTGGAACTGTAGTCACAGAACGCTCTGAGCTGCCATGTGGGCACCAGGAGTTGAACCCAAGTCCTCTGGAAAAGCAGACAGTGCTCCCAACCATTGAGCTCCTTTTTAAAATTTTTTGTTTGTTTGTTTGAGATAAGGTTCAATGTAGAATTCCCTTCTTTATGTTGTGAATACCATTTATTAAAAAAAGAAGCTGTTTGGGTTTATTGTAGCATCAGATAGGCCAAGGCATGCATTCCAAGCAGATAGAGGAGGAGAGAGTAGGCGGAGTCAGAGAAGAGTCATGTAGTCACCATAGGAGACAGATGTGGAACAGAAACTTAATGGTAGGCTACAACCATGTGGCGATATACAAATTAATAGAAATTGGTTATTTTAAGATATAAGAGCTAGTTAGTAAGAAGTGTGAGCTGATAGCCCAAGCAGTACTGTAATAATTTAGTTTATTTGTGGTATTTTGGGTCTGGGAGGCAGGGAAATGAACCAGCACCCTCCAACCCTCCATCTACAGATTATTGCCAATGTGGCACCTATGTCCACATAAAATCTGAGAGATCTTGAAAAGAAATTCAAGACACACACATACAAAAAAAAAAAAAAAAAAAAAAAAAAAAAAAAAAAAAAACAGAGCTTAGCACAGATTCTCATTAGTTGCATTTTGTTTTCAGATGGGTTCTGTTTGTTGGAGGCTCGTTAAAGAGAAGGCTTACTGACTCAGCTTAAGAAATGGCAGCTCCCTGGTTCATGCTTCCAACACAAACCCTGGCTGTTTCAGTAGACCAAGCCTTAGAATGGAATTTGTGAGCAGCATGGTACTAGTTGCTTAATGCTGACATAGACTAGCTGCTACCCTGGAGCTGGGGCATCTTGCTTGGCTCTCAGAGACAGTAAACACGCCTCTATCACGTTGGACTGGACAGAGCCAGCAGGCAGTGCCGTGGAATTGGTACTAGCCATACTTGTTTCACATTTAAAATTTAAAAAAGCATCCTGGTCAAAAAAAATTACAGATATACAATAAAGACAGATTTAGATGAAAAAAACTCTAAATGGGTCACATTGTTGAATGAATGTAAGTAGACTTGGGCGAGAGAAGAAAAAGAGTAAAGAGACAGTAAAAGTATTATAAAAAATTTACAACATAGATTAAAGAAATAACATAAATATTAAATTTGTTGAAAAAGTAATAGAGTAAGAAAAATAAGCCACATAAAGATGTACTATATGCAGAGTCTGAATTATGTATATTATTGTGTTTTCTTTGAAATTTTTGACTGTGAATGAGCTATGGGCCTGTAGGCTGAAGATGGGTGTCCCAAAGTTAAAAAAGAATTTTGGGTGACTATCCAGAAAGTGAGATGTCTCTGCCAATTTTAGAGTTCTGGAAGTTACCTACAATGCACTTCCTGTTTACTTAGGTAATATTATATCATTCTGGAGTCATAGATAGAGTTGAAGAATAGACAGTTATAGTTATAATATTCTTTAGTTTTGATAAAAGATAAAGTAGGTTTAAATATTGTAACTATAATTCTGGCTTGTTTTGTTGTATGTCATCTTGCTATATTAAAGTTAAAATCTTCCTTTTTATTTATACAGAAAAGGGATGTGATGTGGGATTCCCATCTGTATGCTGTGAAAACCATTGTTTAATAAAGAAGCTACTTGGGCCTATTAAATGCAGAAAAAGGCAAAGCAGAAATTCTAATCAAATAGAGGAAGAGTAGAGGAAGAGAGAGTAGGCAGAGTCAGAGAGAAGCCATGAAGTCACCAAAAAAGACAGATGCTGAATGGAATCTTATCAATAGGCCACAACCACTGACAATACACAGATGAATAGAAATGAGTTAATTTAAGATATAAGAGCCAGTCAATAAGAAGTGTGAGCTACTAGACCAAGCAATATTGTAATAATACAGTTTCTTTGTGGTTACTTTGAATCTGGGCAGCTGAGAAACAAACAAGCAGCCTCAGACTACAGGGTTTCTCTGTATAGACCCAACTGTACTGGAACTTACTCTGTAGACCAGACTAGTCTCAAACTCAGAGATCAGCCTGCCTCTGCTTCCTAAATGCTGAGATTGAAAATATTGTTATTTCTAAGAGGATTTTATATTTCTTGACGATTTAACAAAGTACTGATGTGTGTTAATAGTGGCACAAAAAGAATGACATATATTCTAAACCATAATACTATTTTGAATAAATCATCTTGTTTGAACTTTGAATGCGTGAGTATTGAAAATATCGGATGCATAATGAAACGAAAGTGTCTAAAATGTGTAAATTATACAAAAATAGAAAAATTTCAAGTTAACTAACATGAGAAATCTTGTAACAATGTGTGTGTATGTGTGTGTGTGTGTGTGTGTGTGTGTGTGTGTGATGTGGGAATAGTTTCTTATTAATAAAGAAACTGCCTTGGCCCATTTTATTGGATAGAAAATTAGGTAGGCGGAGTATACAGAAGAGAATTCTGGGAGAAAGAAGGTTAGAGGAAGAGTCGCCATGATGCTCCCACTCCAGACAGATGCAGGTTAAGATCCTCTCTGGTAAGCCAGCTCATGGGCTACACAGAATATTAGAAATGGGTTAGAACAATATGTAAGAGCTAGCCAATAAGAAACTGGACCTAGCCGGGCCAGGCAGTGTTTGAAAGAATACAGTTTCCGTGTAATTATTTCTGGGTATAAGCTAGCCATGCGGGCGGCCGGGTGCCGGGGACGCAGCCCTGCCGCTCCTATTTCAACAGATGGCGCCCAACGTGGGGCTAAATCCACTTAAAAACCTGAGAAGCCTTAAAAATAAGGGAAACAGAGTTTAACACAGATTTTTGCTGTTTTGTTGGTGACATGCTGTAGAGAGATTCCTGATTCAGCAACAGCAGCAGAGAAAAAAAGCTGCGTCATTTTAAAGCGCGGCTTCCTGGTGCTATGCTGCCAGCGTGAACTCTGGCTTTAAAGCATTTCAAGGCTTTTATGGGACTGGATGTTTCTGTTCCCACTTGGGATCGGAGGAGATTGCTCTGAGACCTGCCGATGGCTCAGCGTTCCCTGCCTACACCTGGGCAGATGGCGGAATCAGGCTTAGGCAGGCGGAAGAGCATGGCGGATTCCTGCTGCCATACAGAGACGCGTTTTCAGACTGCGCAGTGCTCTGCGTGTCAGATTTGGCTGTAACTTGGATAAAAAGAGTTTCTGTGCTGCACACTCAGTCTCAAAATTAAATTGCTGATTGCGGCTCCAATGTAAACTGCTGTTTGCCTGTAACTGTGCTCAGCTCAAAAGCACCAAATGACTCTGAGGCAGGAGCGGCTGCTCCTTGCTGAACTGTGCTGATCTCAGGCAGGAACTACCGTAATTACCTTAAAACCGTGCAGTTAAGGTTTAGACTGGGCAGGACACAGGCAGTACCGTATTACCTATACATGGTGCAACTTAAGTTTTTAAGAAATGCTTAACATTTTAAGAAA